AAAACTTGCAAGTTGACCATAGATCTGAGGCATACAGCAAGGGGGTCAAAATAAAGGAAGGAATAGCACAAGGGACGATGGTAATGGATTGTGGGTGCTATGGTGGTGGAAGACTACAGTGACTAAAGTACTAAAATACTTCCTCTAAAACTAAAGTCTAAAAAAGTAAATTCCTCTTTTAAAAACAAACATTTAAGCCACTTCTATTACTTAAATCATAGATGCTGTGAAAATTGCACTGTTGAACTCCATTCTTTGCACATTCCTACATCTATTTCATCAACCTTACAAAGTCTTCCCTTTTGAAGGCCAGAGTTGTTGGACCCAGCAGCTATTAGACTAACAGGATGTGATGGCCAGAAACCAGCAGCATTCAACTGTCGAAATATCCTTCCAGTTTCAAACTTAAGTTCAGTCCCAAAGATACAGTCACATCTTTCTACTTAAAATTCCATAATCCCAGAGATGATCATGAGCAGTATCTGAGATTGCAGGAAAATATTTTCCTGAAAAGTCTTGCAGTTTTTTATGAGAGGTATAAAATAACTTAAAGATTTCAAGAAAAACAAGAGGTATATGTCATAGTTATCTTTGTGGCTATTTACTTTATACAAGGTAGCTACTTATACAAGATAAAAAATATCTGGATGAAAAAGTAAATAAATAAATCAGGAGCTATCTCAAAAACATTTTCTTACCACCAATTTCTCTCTTGCACCAAGAAACAAATTTTACCAAGAAGAATGCAAATCTTCCATAATGAATAACAAAACATACTCCACCTATTCCATGATTCTGCCCAGCCAATGCACCCATTTCACGGTGAAACATCTAAAAAGCTACGAATAGTCATCATCTTCCCTTCCTCCCCTCCAGTCACTCTTCAGCTCACCCTCATCAGACTTCTGTTCACACCACTGTATGGTAACTTCTCTTTTCAAGGTCACCAGTGAACTCCAGACTACCAAATTAAATGAACATTTTTCTGACCTCATCCACCTTAACTTCGCAACCACCACCTCTTATAAAACGCTCTTCTCAACTCATGTCTGACATGATAGTATATTGGTTTTCCTACTAAACCTAAATGAGTCTTTCTTGGACTCCTATGCCAACTCATCATCCTCTGTCTCCATCTAAACCTTGGCATGTTCTATGGTGGATCCGAAGACTCCTTCTTTCTTCCCTCACTCCCTAGGGAGTCTCATCCACTGCCATGATTTCAAATACCATCCATATACTGATGACTCCCAATGGAGCCTTCTAGTACAACTATCTGCCTTAAACTTTAGTTGACTACTCAAATGCTTAAGTGACAGTTCCACATCAAGGCCAAGTAGAGCTCACAAAATTAATATATTCCAATGCAGCTCTTTATTTTCTTTCCCAATTCTGTCTCTCCTCCAGACCTCCTCACTTCAATAATGACATTATCATGTATGCAGTTGCTAAACCCAGACCTACAATTCATTCTTAGCCTCTTTCATCATCTCTTATATCAAATCAAGTCTGTCAACTCTAGCTCCACACAATATCTCAACTAAATCCGGTTATCTCCATCACCATTCCCTCTACTCTAGCCCAAGACACGTTTATATTTCACCTGGCCTTATGCAATAGGTTTTGAAGTTTTCACTCTTTCTACCAATGAAATCTTTTCAAATATTAATCAAATCATGTATTTCCCCTGCTTAAAATCTTCCAATGGTTCTCTATCATTCTTAGAGCAATATCCAAATTTCTTACCTTTCCATTAAAGACATGTGATTTGCCACCTGACTTGAATGAGTAACTCTCTCACTCATTAAAATCCAGGCATACTGCCTTTCTTTATATTTCTTGAACACACTGAGCTTTCTCTCATTCCAAACCTGGGAAGTTTTTCCTCTGAATCTCCCCCTGGCTGGCTTCTTCTGATCACATAGGATCTTGGGTTAAATTGAACAATTTCAGATAATCCCTTGGACCAGCAACTTAAAATCACCCCCTTTTGTCATTCTCTATAATGAGTTTCTACTTTCATTCCTTCATAATATTCAGGATAAGAAATCAGTATTTTTAATATCCCCCCTTCTTAATATATACTCCACAGGTAAGGATCATGACTATTTTGGATCTGCACTACACAAAACAGTGGTCTACATATAGTAAGAACCAATAAAATGTGTGAGAAGAATTAACAAATGAATGAATGACACAGATAGTGCAAGTATGAGCATTGTATCCATTCATTTAATTATTCTAAATATTTGCTGAGTCTTTGTTGCAGTGTTTAATTTGAATACACAAATAGACAAGTACCCTTGAGAAGGAGTAGCCCCAAAACCAAATTCATCATTCATCAAGAACTACCAAAGAGAATACAAGGGAAGTAGATAAAGTATTTGTGGTATCAAATAATTAAATACCTTTGAATATTTATAGAAAAGAAAGCAGTTTTCAAAGAATGTTGAAGATAAAACTCAGATTGGAATATTGAGATAATTAGTATAGAAAATAAAATAATAGGAACAGAATAACCCATTTGTTTAGAAACTGAGGAGGAATAAAAAAAGACAAAAGTAATAAAATTAAGAGAGAGATATTTGAGCATGGTAAAAACATAAACTGGACATGTCTAAAAGGAGAAAAGGGAAGAGAGAGAAGACGCAGGGAGAAGGGAAAGGGTGGAAAATTAAAAGAGAAAAATTTAAAAGAAGAATGAAGGAAGAGTAACATGGAGATGAAGGAAAAAGGAAAAATAAGATGAAGAAAATGGAGTAAGTAATCAGAGATGTAGAAGACAGAGGAGACCACAAAGACTGATGAGAGCAAAACAGAAATTAGGTCTATGAATTGGAAATTCCGCTAAGCCATATGCTTCCCAAAGGCATAGAATATGGCTTACTTTGTATGCCCATCTCCTGGTGTAACTGACTGTTTTGGCTAAGGCTATTTGATAAAAATGGAAAAATCTAGAAACTTCAAGCTGTGCTGGATTCATCTGCCAGGCTTCCATAAAAAAATACCACATCGGGTAAATTTATTTTCACAAAGTAAATTTATTTTCTCACAATTCTTGAGGCTAAAAGTTCAAGATTAAGGTGTCATTGGTTCTGGTGAGAACATTCTTTCTGGTTTGTAAGCGATTGCTCACTGTGTCTTTACCATCTTTCCCCTGTGCTCATGCAGAAAAAGGTAAAGAACACTGGTACTCTCCCTCTTAGAAAAACACCACTCCTTGGGTCTCCCCGGTGATGCAGAGGATTGAGTGTCATGCTTTGAAACTGTCCACAGCCTCTGCAGTGCAGGTTCGATTCCTCCCAGCCAGCCAGGGACTAGAAACCCACATGGCGTGGCAGACCTCTCCTGTCTCACCCACTGCTCCCCTCAGCAATGTCTTTGGTTTGTCTGCGTATTCTGCTCTTCCCTCTGTCTCTGGTGAATTCTCTCACCCTCTGGTGCCTCTGATTGTACCCCAGTTCTTGTATAAATAAATAAATCTTTTTTTAAAAAAAAAAGATACCGCTCCTCTTGAATTAGGTCCCCATCTTTATGACCTTACTTAACCTTAATTTTCTCCTTACAGGAGCTGTCTCCAAATATAGCCACAAAGGAGACTGGAGTTTCAACATGAAAGGGGAGGGGGAAAAATTCAGCTCAAATGGATGTTAAGTACCAGTCAGAGGATTCTAAAACACTCAGAGAAATATGAATGCATTAAGAAAGCGGAAATGAAAAGAAGACTTATGAGAAGATATTCTTTGAAAAAAACCCACAGTTGATCCCATGTTTTCTGCCCCCAAGGGTGGAAGTGGGGCTGCATGGCGGCTTAGCTCAAACCTAGTAAGAGCAGCTCAAACTGGACTGAAAGATGAGCACCTGATAATGTGTGCTGAAGGGCCAAGGAGGCCAGTCCTGATCTATATCTGAATAATCTAGAAATGAGAAGCTGTGCTTATCAGACTGCGGTGGTGCTAAGTTGAAAGACACAGCTATGTTTGGGAAGTAACTGCACCCCCACGCCAGCAAGCTAAAGAATCTCCCCAGTGGAGAGATACAGCCTGAAGCCATTTCAAGTGGGACTCCTGGAGGGTAGAGGTGACAGTGGAGAGGTTTGTCTATAGTGGGCACCTAGAACACAAGGGGCAAAAGGAGATGTTGTCTACAAGAAGAAAATGTGCTTGTCAAGGTTTTGGGGACCCCCATTAGACAGAGATGCTGAAGGACCATGGAAGCCAGTGCAAGGCACTCAGCTTCAAAAACTTGCTGAGTTCAGAAAATACAAAGCCATCTTATGACAGTACATCAGGTAAGGACATTCTGTTCTTGCTCCTACCACCTACACTTTGTGTTCTAAGAGTGACAGGTCAGAAGCTGTGATTAGCATCCTGGGAAAAGAAGGGTGAGAGTTTAAGAAGAAGGTGAAAGCAGTTCCTGCTAAGGCAGCACTTTGCCCACTAGAAGCTGCGGAGTAAGGGGACTGTCCAATTTGAAATCAAAGTGGGGTTTTACAAAGGACTGATCAGTCTAGTTATGAAACTGAGATTAGAAGAGCTGCATAGTCTGTCAGAGATTATATCATGTGATAGGAGAACAACATCCTTCTTAAAATGTTAAAGGGACAGTAGTAAAAAAA